GAACAAGTAGTAGTAGTAGTAGTAGTAGTAGTAGTAGTAGTAGTAGTAGTAGTAGTAGTAGTAGTAGTAGTAGTAGTAGTAGTAGTAGTAGTAGTAGTAGTAGTAGTAGTAGTAGTAGTAGTAGTAGTAGTAGTAGTAGTAGTAGAGTCGCACTTGGTCCTCGTGTCTGGCGAAACGCCACCTTCGTGTGCGCTAGATTGCACGGCGACAGTATTGGTTCCACATGAGAAAATTATGGAAAAAAGTCAGTTTCACACCCCACTCTCGTGTCGATTATACCACGCCCCACTTTCGTGCACCATTCACTATTAGGCAGTAGTAGTAGTAAGCTCTGAAATGCAGGGAATGACCGTTTCACACTTCCCTTTCGTGTCGCAGAATTTACGAGATGGTTTCAATGGAATTACACAGCGTTCTTGGGGTAACTTTTCTCCTTGGCCACCAAGACGGCCAAAACTCGGGCCGACGCCGCTACGGCACCCCCAGGATTCCTCAGGATTCTGAAGAGTCCTGAGGCACTCCGATGGGCCATGGCGGGTTTCGACTGGTGTTGAAAGGTCCTCAGGGTGTTGCAGGTTTTGAGGGGTTCCGAGGGATCCTTGAGATGCCGTTTCAGCTATCTTGGAAGTTGCAGGATCCATACGAACTCTTAGGATTCATAAGAGGCCCTCTTTGGTGCACACAAGCTTTGTGGTGCACGCTGGCGTTACGGTGCACGCGCGCAGGCTTTCTTGTGCACGCTGGCGTTGTGATTCACATTCTTTGTGATGTACGAATCAAGCCGCTATGGCGAACACAGGAATTGTGGATCCAAAATATCCGAGCGTTCCGTGGGCCACAAAAACCAATAGTCACAATCGGTTCGCACGTTGAATTTGATGCGTTCGGACCCCCAGCGATTTTCTGGAATTCGGCTCGTTCGGGACCTTTGAGGTGTACGCAAACCTTTTGGTAAACATAAGCACGCTGGTGCACGCGGGATGTGCTCACAAATGTGTCGTGGATTTTGCAGGGTCCCCACCTGCTGCGGCGCCAAGGGTCCCCAAGAGCCCTTCCCTCGAATGTGGGAGCCGGTCGGATCTTTCAGAATTCATGGGGTTCTTCGAGGGGCCCGGTTAGGAATTTGGCAATTTGCAGGATCGCTAAGAACTCTTAGGATTCTTTAGGAAGCCCTCCCAGGAATCTGTGAAGTGGTAGGACCCCTCGGAATTCCCAGGGCTCCTTAGGAGGCTTTTTCCAGAATCTGGCAATGTGTGCAATCCTTGGGAATTCGTCGGGTTCCCTAGATGGCCGTCCTGTTTCACACCCCGCCTTCGTGTACTATTCGTTCATCTTGCGCGTAACACAATTGAATTCCGAAGTTAAGCAGAATAGGCACTTTCACGCCTCACCTTCGTGTCGCCTCAGAATTCGATAGCATCCGTATTGAAATTCGTATTGTATTCGCATTGTGTTCATACTGGATTCGAATTGTATTTGTATTGCACTCGTGTTGTATTCGTATTGTGTTCGTATTGTGTTCGTATCGCATTGTGTTCGCATTTTCTTCGTACTGTTTGCGTATGGTGTTCGGATTCTACGGTACGCACGAACCCAATACCCTTACCCTCACCCTTACCCGTTCATTCTGAGAAAATACGACGGCGAGGTGTAACCCAAGTAGTAGTAGTGGAAGTAGAAGTAGAAGTATAAGTAGAAGTAGAAGTAGTAGTAGTAGTAGTAGTAGTAGAAGTAGAAGTAGTAGTAGTAGTAGTAGTAGTAGTAGTAGGGGGAGTAGTAGTAGTAGTAGTAGCAGTAGTAATAATAATAGTAGTAGTAGTCGTCGTCGTCGTAGTTGTAGTAGTAGCCGTAGTAGTAGTAGGTCGTAGTCGTAGTCGTAATCGTAGTCGTAGTCGTAGTCGTAGCCGTAGTAGTCGTAGTCGTGGTAGTCGTAGTCGTAGTCGTAGTCGTAGTCGTCGTTGTATTAGTAGTTGCAGTAGTAGTAGTAGTAATAGTAGTAGTAGTAGTAGTCGTCGTAGTAGACGTCGTCGTAGTAGTAGTAGTAGTAGTAGCAGTTGCAAACGAAGTAGTAGTAGTAGTAGTAGTAGTCGTAGTAGTAGTAGTAGTAACAGTAGTAGTAGTAGTAGTAGTAGTAGTAGTAGTAGTAGTTAGTAGTAGTAGTAGTAGTAGTAGTAGTAGTAGTAGTAGTAGTAGTAGTAGTAGTAGTAGTAGTAGTCTCAGTAGTAGTAGTAGTAGTAGTAGTAGTAGTAGTAGAAATAGTCGCCGTAGTAGTAGTCGTAGCAGCAGTAGTAGTAGCAGGACTAGTAGTAGTACTAGTAGTAGTCGTAGTACTGGTAGTAGTAGTAGTAGTAGTAGTAGTAGTAGTAGTAGTAGTAATAGTAGTAGTAGTAGTAGTAGTCGTAGTAGTAGTAGTAGCGATAGTAGTCGCAGGAGTAGTGTCAGTGACAGTAGATGTAGTTGTAGTATCAGCATTAGTAGTAGCAGTAGTAGCTGTAGTAGTAGCAGTAGTCGTAGTAATTGCAGTTGCAGTTGTAGTAGTAGT